CCTTCTCTGCTCACTCATTCCGCATTGGTGCAGCATCATCAGCTTCAAGCACTAACACCCCGGTACACATCATTAAGAGACTGGGGCGCTGGAAATCCTCAATATACAACACTTATATTCCTCGACCAGAGAGGGAGCTCAGACAAGCCTTCAGAAATCTCACTGTTTAAACTTGCAATAAAGTGTGTTTACTTTGAATCCTTTTTGCCCTCTTTTTACAGGCCTACTCGTACGTTGGTTTCGGCACACCTCAACCAACTTTGCTTCTCCTTCTACATTCTATTTACGTATTAGAAATTCGGAGCACAAGTTGGAAGGCCATTTGACCTGAATTTGTGGGAGGAGTTATGACCCTATTTAAACCCCTACTTACCTTTGTCATTGTCCCCACCCACCTACACCCTTTTTTTTATACCTTTCACCTTTGAAGGCCCTTTTTTACAGGCCTACTCGTACGTTGGTTTCGGCACATCTCCACTAACTTTGCTTCTTCTTCTACATTCTATTTACGTATTAGAAATTCCGAGCACAAATATATATATATATATATATATATATATATATATATGTTGAGCAATGAGATGGATGGATATGGGAGATAGACATAGAGCTATGAGAGCAATGATGCAAATATCCAGGGGTGTTAAATAATGGGAAATGTTGACTTAATAGAGTAGCATTTTTGCAAATATGTCATAAAAAATGAAATAATGAAATGATATATGGGAAAGAGAATAGTATATGGGATTATGAGATGTGATACAGAAAATGTTATAACAGCATCAGAGGATGAAATTTTGAACACAAAAAATGACATAGGAGATGGTACAAAAAAATTAACATATGGCATGTAGCATAAACTATGGCAGGAGTTGGCAATCAGATGCTTTGGAGTACATCTTACATGATAACCTTACTGCCCTAATGCTGGCAAAGCATCAGGGGAGTAGTAGACAATCTACATCTGGACAACTAAATGTTGCCCTGGTATATAAGGAGTGAAATTAGGCATTAATTAAAGGAATCATTTAGTGCCAGGATAACAAATCTGTTTTCCTGCCACTATAGGCTCCTGGAGTGCCTCCCTCCCACTGGGCTGAAGGGGTTAAAACTCCTTCAACCACTTACCTGAATCCAGCACCGATGTCCCTTGGCACTGGGCCGGGCTCTGCCCACGCTACTCCCCATAGGAAAGCATTAATGCTTTTCTTCAATTAAAATCTGATGCTGGAGGTCCGTGAGGACGTCCAGCGTCAGATAAAAGACCGAAAGTCAGTTTGGATTCTGGAAGCCCTCTAGTGTGAGGGTAGACTTGGAGCTGCAATGTAAGCATTGCTGTTCTCTGGAACAGCAATGTTCAGGGACGGACTGACCACTCGGGCAATCGGTTATGGACCGAGGGCCCAAGGCAGTCAGCGGCCAGCTGCACTCATGCTTCTGCTGTGGAGATCTCTGAAGGAAGTTTGCATGGGCTCATGATGATACAGGGGGCCCCAGCAACCTGTCACCCTGCAATTCCTTGCTCTCACTGCCAGGTCTCCTCTCTCTCCCTGCAGCTAGCGCACAGTGCTCCATGTGGGGATGGGAGGGGGCAGGAAGTGACATCACACCCCTGTTTCTCTCTCACACAGAGCACTTGCATCATGGGTGGAGGGTGAGAACAGGTGTCTGGCACAGCAGATCCCTCCCAGTGAAGCTATTGGGAGGATAAAAAACTGTGGTGCAGGTAAGCAGGTTTGGGGTGAAAAGGGCAGATAAATATGTGGGTTGAAGGGATAAGACAGGGCAGAGACACACATGGGGTTTTGTAGAGATGTGGGGTAGATGTGCTTTTTTTAAAATTTATTAATTACATATTTTTGCTGGTTCTCTTTTTATTTCTTGATGTTTGTCTAATTTTTGTGATGTGTGTGTTTTTATCTTTTCCACCTATAGGGAATTAATTTTTTTGATCATTAGCTTAACTAAGGTGTCATTACCTGATATTGCTTGCCTGCTTACAGATTTTTTGTACAGCCCATTATATTACCTTTGCTTTTTAAGTGAATTCCCTATGCTTATGAATATGTAAATGTGTCATGAATGTTTTATATGGTATAAAATGTAATAAAGATTACATTTAAAAAATAATAATTAGTGGTAGGGGTTAACAATGAAAGAGAAACTATAGAAATACATATGTATTTCTGACACTATAGTTTTGAAAGAATAGTTTAGGGGATCAACCCCCCTATCAGAGGAGTAAAAGGTGTTATTACTCATCTTTATTCCGCGCTGGAATAAAGTGCCGCGCTGGTCTCGTCGAAGCTGGCTTCACCCAGCTCCGCCTCCTTGACTGAGATCATCAGTCTGAGAAATTTCGCCCTGGCACCTCTGATTTACCAGCTCTTTAGTCAATGTGGCCGCAGAGGGAGCTTTATTAGAACCACCTGCCTTGGGGAGCACGCGAGGGAGCAGTAATCTTACTGCAGCTCCTCTCTGCGCCCTCGCGCTGTTTAATGATGCCGGGAGCTGGAATATGATGTCACTCTGGCCCCAGAGGGCGTGCAGGGATCAGGGGGCAGAGAGGAACTGCAGAAAGATTACTGCTCCCTCACACACAGGAAGAGAGCAGCCCCACTGGACCCCAGGGAAAGATCCACTCAGCTATCCCAAAGGTAGGGAGGCTGAGTGGGTTTCAATTAAAACCAAAATTTGTGTGTGAGTGTGTGTGTAAGCCTGTCAGAGTGAGACTGTGTGCCTGTTGTGTGAGCCTATCACAGTGTGTGTGTATGCCTGTTGTATGAGCCTGTCCAGGGCCGGCGCTACCTGTTAGACGGACTAGGCAGCCGCCTACGGTGCCCCTTGGGAAGGGGCGCCGCCAGGAGCGCTGGCCCCTCTCATGCTGCAGCCGCCCGAGCGCTCTGTAGAGAGCCTCAGGCGGCTGCAGCTTTGCCCAGGCTGGTGCGTCCATGAGGGAGCACCGCCCGCGCACAGCATGAGGAGAGGGGCTGACGAGGGCAGCGCTCCCTCCTGTCACTCCCTCACTGTAACGTGGCCGAGCTCTGTATGGTCCGCGGGTACAGGGAGCATCTGTCTCCTGTACCCGGTCGGACTAACAGGAAGTGCACACTGAGTGTGCGCTTCCTTTTAGTCCGGCCGGGTACAGGAAACAAAAGCTCCCTGTACCCGCGGACCATACAGAGCTTGGCCACGCTACAACAGTGGTGGGGGGGAGAATTTGACAGGGGGGGGAGAGTAGGGAGGGAGGGAGGGGGGAAAAGAGAGTGACAAGAGAAGGGGGAGAGATTGACATCCATCACACACACACAATCACACACAATGCACCCCTTAGACACAAAGACAATGCACCCCTTGCACACAGAAAAACACACAATGCATTACACACACAGACACACATACACAGGCAATGCAACCCTTACACAATATGCATCCCTTACACACACAGAAAAACACAATGCATCCCTTACACACATTCAGTGCATCCCTTACAGACGCACACACTGCATCCCGTACATACACAGAAACACACCTTGCAGCCCTTACACATACAAACACAGATTCACACAATGCATTCCTTACACACATATCAGGACATCCCCTACACACTCCACCCCTGTGAACAAACTCATTGGTGGAACATGAAGGTGGACCCTGGGACCCAGACCTTGAGCTGTGTAAAGGGCCCCCAAAAAATGGAGCTGCTTCCCATTCTCCCAGAACATTGATTTTTGTGACCACAGTTACAAACCGCCCCCAGAGAGCCTGTTCTACACCAGACCAGTGGAGCCAGACTGCAGCTAGAGCCCATCATCATCCTCATCTGGTTGTAAGTAGGCAATCTAGTATATTATTCGTGGCACTAATCTCTAATTTACCTCACATTAAAGAAACAGCTTAATGTAGTGGTTCTGGTGTCTATAGCCTGTCCTTGCAAGCCTTTTAACCCCTTAAAACCGGAGGACGTACAATTACGCCCTCTAATAGGCGGCTCTAAACGCCGCCGGGCGTAATTGTACGCCCTCCGGTTTTTGTTAACTTACCCGGTCGCCGGCGGTCCCACGCCGGCGATCGCGGTGGGGGGGACTCCCAGGGAGCCCCCCCGCGGCAGATGCTTCTCCTTCGGTGCTCCCCGGCCATGTGAGAGTGGGGTGCTAGCGAGGACCCCACAATCACATGGCCGGGTAGGCTGCCTCCTGCATTGCCAGCAGGGGGGCTGCCTGTAATGACAGGTGGTCCCCCTGCTGGCTGAAAATAAAATTAAAATTACATTTATTGGTGTAAAAAAATAATAATATATACTTAGATCATATGTATATATTATATATATATATGATCTAAGTATATATATACACATATACATACACACACATACACCGTCTAGGTGTATTTTACTATTAATATATATATAATTATATATATATATATTAATATCAAATTACACGTAGACTGATACTGATTAAATATATATATAATTATTGTTATATATTTATATATAATATAAAAAAAATAAAAATGTAAATACGTTAAAAAATAAAATTAAAAAAATAATTAAAAATAAATAATTAAAAAATATATAGATGTGTGTTATTTCATTCTAACTGTTTTGTGAAATTAATATATATATATATATATATCAAAATACACGTAGAACGAAATAATATATATATCTATATACATAAATATATACGTATATATCACTATATATATACCTATATATTAATAAAAATATTTTTAAAAAATTATATAGATATATACATATATATACACATACGTATATATATATACATATATTAATTCTACATATATATTTATGTAATATTTTTACATAATTAGATATCTTAATTAATTACAATTAGCAGGACCTGCCTGACAACCCATGCCGAAAGTAAAGGGAATTTAATTTGCTAGCACTATATTTAACCCTATAACTTTCCGAGACACCATAAAACCTGTACATGGGGGTACTGTTCTACTCAGGAGACTTCGCTGAACACAAATATTAGTGTTTCAAAACAGTAAAATGTATTACAACGATGATATCGCCAGTAAAAGTGACGTTTTTTGCATTTTTCACGCACAAACAGCATTACACGGACAATGTTATTGCTGTGATACTTTTTACTGTTTTGAAACACAAATATTTGTGTTCAGCGAAGTCTCCCGAGTACAACAGTACCCCTCATGTACAGGTTTTATGGTGTTTTCAAAAGTTACAGCGTCAAATATAAGGCTTGCATTTCAGTTTTTTCACATTAAAATTCGCCAGATTGGTTAGGTTGCCTTCGAGACCCTATGGTAGCCCAAAAATGAAAATTACCCCTATGATGGCATACCATTTGCAATAGTAGACAACCCAAGGTATTGCAAACAGGGTATGTCCAGTCTTTTTTAGTAGCCACTTAGTCACAAACACTGGCCAAAATTGGCGTTTTTTGAATTTTTCACACACAAACAAATACTAACGCTAACTTTGGCCAGTGTTTGTGACCAAATAGCTACTAAAAAAGACTGGACAAACCCCATTTGCAATACCTTGGGTTGTCTACTATTGCAAATGGTATGCCATTATGGGTGTAAATTTCATTCCCGGCTACTATACAGTCTCAAAGGCAACGTAACCAATCTGGCAAATTTCAATTTCAAATGTAACGTGCTATATTTGACCCTGTAACTTCCCAAAACGCCATAAAACCTGTACATAGGGGGTACTGTTTTACAGGTGAGACTTTACTGAATATAAATATGTGTATTTTATTGCAGTAAAAGCAAACAGTATTATGACATTGACCGTTAAAATGTCATGTAGAACTAAAAAATTCCAAAAAAAACGTATTTTCTCCCATTTTTTTCATATTAAATTATGTTTCATAGCTAAATATTTGATATTAAATGAAAGCCCTGTTTCCCCTGAATAAAATGATATATATAATAAGGGTGGGTGCATTTACTATGAAAGAGGTGTATTACGGTTGGACAGACATGTAGCGCAAATGCCAGGTTTTGTTTACATTTTGTTTTGTTCACAATGTGTACATTTGGCTCCGTCCTTAAGGGGTTAAAGGAACACTATAGTCACCTAAATTACTTTAGCTAAATAAAGCAGTTTTAGTGTATAGATCATTCCCCTGCAATTGCACTGCTCAATTAACTGTCATTTAGGAGTTAAATCACTTTGTTTCTGTTTATGCAGCCCTAGCCAGACCTCCCCTGGCTATGATTGACAGAGCCTGCATGAAAAAAAAAAAACTGGTTTCACTTTCAAACAGATGTAATTTACCTTAAATAATTGTATCTCAATCTCTAAATTGAACTTTAATCACATACAGGAGGCTCTAGCAGGGTCTAGCAAGCTATTAACATAGCAGGGGATAAGAAAATCTTAATTAAACAGAACTTGCAATAAAGAAAGCCTAAATAGGGCTCTCTTTACATGAAGTGTTTATGGAAGGCTGTGCAAGTCACATGCAGGGAGGTGTGACTAGGGTTCATAAACAAAGGGATTTAACTCCTAAATGGCAGAGGATTGAGCCGTGAGGCTGCAGGGGCATGTTCTATACACCAAAACTGCTTCATTAAGCTAAAGTTGTTCAGGTGACTATAGTGTCCCTTTAATGTAAACACGGCGGCACTGCAGCACTGGCATTAGTTAACATGGCAGATCATATGGGTGGGGCATTGTGATGTCACATGGGGGGGGCGGCAAACTTTACTTTTGCCTAGAGCGGCAAAAATCCTTGCACCGACCCTGAGCCTGTCACATTGTGTGTGTTTGTGTGAGCCTATCAGAGTGTGTGTGAGCCTGTCAGAGAGTGTGTGTGAGTGCGTTTAGCTACCTGCCCACTCTGATTTTTTTCCCATGCCATGCCAGTTTCTCCGCGGATGGTCCCACCTCCATGGCTGAGATTATCAGTCTTCATGATCTCAGCTAACCCAATGCTTTCGTGCATGTGCAGTCCTGACCCAGGACTCTAGTGGCCGTCTGAGTGACTGTCACTAGAAGTGTTACTAAGCAGCACTTCAGGTTGAACATCAGGTCCTCCCACTAGAGGTGTTCCTAGGCAGTAATGTAAACACTGCCTTTTCTCTGAAAATGCACTGTTTACATTAAAAAGCCTGCAAGGATTAGCTGTGGACACCAGAACTATTACATTAAACGGTAGTTGTTCTGGTGACTAGAACGTCCCTTTTAATAATTAATATTTGGTCTTCAAAGGGCTCAGGATACAATGTTGCCCGGGGGCCCAGAAGGCTGTCAGTCCGTCCCTGGAACTGCTATGTTTATAATAGGGTTAATCCAGCCTCTAGTGGCTCTCATAGACAGCCGCTAGAGGCGCTTCCGCGCTTCTCACTGTGATTTTCACAGTGAGAAGACGCCAGCATCCATAGGAAAGCATTGATAATGCTTTCCTATGGACCGGCTGAATGCGCGCGCGGCTCTTGCCGTGCATGCGCATTCAGCTGATGACGTCGCTATGGAGGAGGAGAGTCCCCCGATGGAGAAAGAGGTAAGTTTAACCCCTTCCACCCTCTAGAGCCCGGCAGGAGTGGGACCCTAAGGGTGGGGGCACTCTCAGGGCACTATAGTGCCAGGAAAACGGGTATGTTTTCCAGGCACTATAGTGGTCCTTTAATATTGCAGCATTAGGTTAAATTAGCTGAAGTGGTCTGAGTGGCTACAGTGTCCCTTTAAGGAAAGTGATATGGTCTGGGGTAAAATGTAAGAAAATGATACAGAGTCAAGGTTTGCTTTTGTGCTCTCACTACCACCACTCTGCTATTCCAGTATTACTATATAAATTACATGAATTTTCAGCACTCCTTGATTTGTGAGTAGTAAAATCTTTATTGGCAATCCAAACTGAAAAATGTTTTAACAAACAATTTGTCTTTTTCAAGCAGTGTTAAAAATAAGATACTGCAATAAATAATTAGATAGCAGATTTCAATCACACACAAATTGCTATCATCTAAATATTGTATGAAAATTGTATAATATAAAAGATTATGGAAAAAGTTTTAAATTACAGTTAGATAAAAAAGCTTTTGATAAAGCCTAACCGTATGTGAAACTCGTTAAGTGTAACATCTCAGGAGTATATAAGTGTAAAATTTATAGATTGACTAACCTCTGGAATATTAAAGGGACACTATAGCCACCAGAACAACTACAGCTTATTAAATTTGTTCTGGTGAGCAGAATCATTACCTGCATGCTTTTTGCTGTAAACACTGTCTTTTCAGAGAAAATGCAGTGTTTACATTACAGCCTAGTTATAACTTCACTGGCCACTCCCCAGATAGCTGTTAGAGATCCTTACTGGGTCATGGCTGCCTAAAATGCATTCAAACATTCAGTGTCTCCTCCCTCTGCATGCAGACACTGAACTTTCCTCACAGAGATGCATTGATTCAATTCATCTCTATGAGGAGATGCTGATTGGCCAGGGCTGTGTGTGAATCATGTAGGCTCTTCCCCTGACCTGCCTCCTTGTCAGTCTCGGCCAATCCTATGGGGAAGCATTGTGATTGGATCAGGCTACCACTTCTGATGATGTCAGCAGACTGCTTGTTTTTCTGAGTCTAACAGAATGCAGAGTTACAGCTTCAGGCTTGAATACAGTAAGATTTTTACTATATTTATGGAGGCATGAGGGACCCTCAATGGTGATTTTAACACTATAGGGTCAGGAATACAGGTTTGTGTTCCTGACTCCATAGTGGTCCTTTAAGCCTAAATTTGCTTTATTTATTTATTACTGGCATTTATAAAGCTCCAACATATTCCTCAGCTCTGTACAATTAGGGAAGAAGGTACAATATACACAAACAAATACAAATGGTAAGGAGGGCCCTGCCATGAGCGGGGATCTAACCATTGAGATCTTTTAAACAAAGTGCTTAGATAACCCATGAGCTTACAATCTATAGAAAATAATGGGGATTTGAGACAAGAGATAGAGTGAATTTGAAATTGATAGCTTAAGG